TGGACATCCTACAGGGCACAGGAGACCCATTGGGGCTAAGGCTCACCTGGATGCAACCCTTAAGGACGCTGAGGTTGAGAGCACTGTGTTGCAGAATGCTGATAAGACACCTGGATAATGTATGACTAGAAACTCTACGGAAAGTGGAAATAAATTGCAGGAGGCGCGGTATGGTGCTTATGCTATGATAAGGACTTTGGACTCACAATCCAAATCCCGACCTAGCTACTATACTTGTGTGAACTCAACTAAGTCTACCATCTTGCTAAGTTTTCTTATCACAGGGATCTCCCAGAATTACTGTAATGGCTCCATGAGATTAGACATAATATCTAGGATAGTGCGGGTACCCTGGAAGCACTCCCCAATGTGCCTGCTATGATCACTGTTACAAACCCCAGAGAAAGCCTGGATTGTAGAATGTGGTTAACACAATGTGGACTCAAGACTAGAGATGACTCAGCAGTTAAGAGCACTTGGCAGTGTTGCAGAGGGCCCAGGTTCCGTTCCAGTGGCACACAGACATCTGGGACTCTAGCTTTATAGGATCTGGAGCCCTCCTCAGGCCCTATGGGAATCAGGAACAGACATGGTGCATATACGCAATGCAGGCAAAACATTGACATACATGAGACAAAAATTAATACAAGATTTTAAAAGAAGATTTCTGGGGCTGAACTGCCATGTGGATAGAGTTTCCCCAAAGCTTAAAGAGTCGCCTCTCCTAGGTCTGCTCCAAACTCCATGTCAAACATGGCAAACAGTCTTTTAGTCAACTGTTCAGACATCGCCATTGCACAACTGTCAGAAAGACCTACATGTTTTTAAAACTAGCTTACGTGTATTGACAAGCAAGAAAACCACACTGGGAGAAAAAATAAATCTTAAATCTATTCAAATACTGTCTTACATCTCTTCAGTGTCATTTGCATGTTCTCCGCACTGCGATGTGAGTTGGAGAAGGAAAGATAAAACAGAGACTATTTCCTTAAGAATTTCATTCACAAGCCCAGCAAAGACGACACAATGATCATAAACACTGGCTGCTCTTGCAGAGGCCCCAGGCTCAGTTCCCAGCACCTGGATGGCGGCTCAGAATCGCCCTTAGCTCTATTTTCACGTGATCTGAAGCCTACCTCTGACCTCTGTAGACACCAGGCGTACATGCAGTGCACACACATCCATGCAGTGCACACACATCCATGCAGTACACACACATCCATGCAGTACACACACATCCATGCAGGCAGAACACTCACAGACATAAAATCACTCCAGAAGTTTCTTTTTGGGGGGCAGTCTTGTTCTTCCCAGTCTGACCTAAACCATGAGGCTTGTTCATTTCTAAGAGAAGACCTTCTGGCTTTCTTCACACAGATGTAGTGTGTTGTCTGAGAGCTCTTCCTGACACTTGCTTCTCAGTACCACAGGGTGTCACTATTGGAAACGTGCCTCCCAACCAGGGATGATGCTGGCCTCTTCTTCATGGATTCTTTGCTCACTCACAAGAATCTCAAGCCGCCTTTGCTTCTTTATGGGAGAAAACCCTCATCCTAAACCCCAGAGTCAACTTCAGCAAAAATGTTTGTCTCTCACATTCCAGACTGCATATTTTGATGCTCACCCCTTCAAAGGGACTGTTACAATTCTCTGATCCTTTATCAGCCCTCGGATTGGCTAGTGCAACACCTGTCATGGAATCAGTCTCCCTGTATTCAATCCAGCTGGTTACCTTTAAATATAAAGCCGAGGCTACCCCTGTTTCTCTACATACTTTGTAACCATAGCCCCTGATGAACCAGATTCAGAATTCTCACTGGCCTCCTCCATAGATGATTTTGAAAAACATGCATATTGTGGAACTGACAGCTGTACTTAATGGATGTTATTAGGTGAAGAAAGCAAGGAGAAGGGCGCCTAGGAGCCCAGGAGGTCTCTGGCATCTATGATTCGATGGGTGGGGCTGGGACTCATCCCTGAGAAAGGCAAATAGCAGCATCTATAATTTCTACTTTAGATTAATTCCTAGGGAGTTTCACTGTAGACCTTGTAGTGACTTTTCCTTAGAGGCCTTTTGCATTGTCTGGTTGTCAGGGCCTGGCAATTGTCTTAGTTTCATCTCTTGTTGCTTTAAAATACCTGGACAAAAACAACTTAGGGGAAAAAGGACTTATTTCAGCACAGAATTCCGTGCTATGGCCCATTATAGCATAGAAGTCACAGCAATGCGAGCTTGAGGGAGTTGATGAAGTCATCCACAGTCAGTAGTTGAGAATAATAAATGTTCCTCTGCCTAGGCAATGGTGCCACCCACAGTGAACAGGTCTCCCCGCCATCATTAACATAATCAAGATAATCCTCCTGATCTAGACAATCTTTCATTATATTCTCTTCACGGGTGTTTTTAGATTGTGTCAAGTTAACAATTAAAATTAAACAAATGTACCATCTAAGAAGTGGTGTAGCAATAAAAATCAATAAAAAAAGAAGATGAATAAAAAAGGAAGTGGATAGACCCAGCTATAAGACAGAGGGTGACTGAACCCAGATGCTATCAACCATCGCTCCAGCCAAAAGACTGATAGTGTCATGATGGCTGATCAGTGAGCATGGTTTTAAGAGGAAGGGCTTCATAAAAGTAATTTATATTGCCATTTTGTCACAAATGGGACAGGGGTAGGTTTGGTGATGTGTCTGATTGGAACATGTGTCATTTGCATATGTACAGGCAATCTATGTAATTTTTTTCCTCAAAAATAAAACAAGTTTTACAGAATTCATGCCTCTAATCCCAGCCCTTGGAAGATAGCAACAGGAAGATCAGGAGTTCAAGACCAGCCTTGGCAACACAGAAAGTTTGAGACTAGGCTTGATTTTATGGGATCCTCTCTCTCACGATGAAAATATGTTTTACAGATGAGTACATGAAAAGTCTCATTCCCACTCCAAATTTTCCATTCAATTTTCTCCTGGCCTTGGCTATTTCCCCAAGTTTCTTACCTGGCCCCTTCCCCCAGTGTATTTCTATGACAATACAAGACAAGGAAAACACAGATTTGCCTGACTGTTTCTCTCCTTGATTCAGGAGAGCTAAGCCGTTTGAAACATTATTCTGCACTATGCTTTTTTCACTTAACCTATCATAGAGATTTCTAATCTAGATGTTTGAAGGATGTTCCCATACAAGGGAACAATTGCAGCATACCTGCTCTGCTGGGGACCAATCAGTGCAGAGAAAGAAACACATCGGAGGCTTGCCTTGCCTTTCAAAAGTAAGGTTGCAAAGACCTGAAATGCAAAATATTTGTCACCTGATTTAAATCATATTTCAAGGACAAATATTTGCAAAAGAAAGGCAAGAATTTCCCTGATGGAGAAATAAATATTCCTTTATTAGCCATCCTCCCAGTATTTACTTGTGTGTGTATTGTTCCATGCTTGGCTAGATACTACGGGGAGGATCAGCAAAGCAGATGGGTCATTTGTCCTGGACTCTGTGCCAACAGCCCCCTCACAATAACCCGTTTGCAGTAACTTACTGCTGCAGTAGCCAAAGAGGCAGCCTTCTTCACATGATGACCCAGCCTTTTCCCCACGTAAATGCCTTTAGTGTCCCCATTGTGTTCAAGGTCAGGTCTAAGTCCCAGTCCTTGGTGTGAATCTAGCTGATGTCTCACCTTCCCTGGCTCCCTCTGATCTAGCCTTACTGGATGTCCCTTGTGAATACAAACAGGCAAGCCAACAATCAAAATGGGACAGTCCTGTCTGTCTAGTTGTGGGGCTTTTGCCTGCCCCTTTCAATCTGGAAATGATCTTCCCGGTTAATCACCATCACCTTTGATTGTACTCCCACCTTCTTGCAAGTGTCTTTCCCTCATTGCCCTCTTGTTCCCATCCGCTTTTCTAGCTGGTGTGAGTTAGCGTGCCCTAGTCTAATAGAACACCGAACCTCCGCGTACCAGCCCTGGTTCCACTTCCAAGGCTCTCTGTTTCCTGTAACAAGTAGGACACACAAACTTCTTGATACAGTCATGTGGGATGATGCATTCGTAGGCAAACTACTCGCTGAAGGATGGCCAGCAGATGGGAGTTGCCTTATCTTTTCCCCGTTGTTCTCATGTTCTCCGTGGAGCAAATTAGCACACTTCTAAACCTCCAGTGTTCAGTATGAAGAACGTCTGCACATAATGGGTGAGTTGTTGACTAATGATCATTACATATTTAGTAGTGGTGGTATGGATCACTTGGCACTTTTAGCCTTTCAGCATGTACTTGTTGCCTCCCCTGACTTCTCCCAAGTTTAATAACCCTCTCCCCTTGGGGTCTAAAAGGAACCTCCCAGTTGCATCTCAGTCTTGGTTCTAGAGGACAGTCCCTGCGTGGGGACTGAGCATGCTCCTGACCAGCTTGGGCTGTTTGGGGCCGGACTTCTCTGGCCCAGCGTCTTGCGCCCTCCACAGGCTGGGCGGGCTGGCAGGAGAGCCTGCAAGCAGGCGGGGTTTGGCCTCAGGGCAGCCTGGCGCGTCTAGGCTCTCCTGGCGGACAGTGGTGGGGGTTAGGAGCGGCGCCTCCCAGCCAGTCGCACAGCCTACCGCGGTGCGCAGAGGCTGCAGGAGCAGAGCCGAGCGGCAGGGAGGGCTCTCTAGGCCTTGAGCGCGCGCTGTGTGGTGCTTAGGTTTGGGCTTAGGTCCCGGTGGGGGAAGGAGAAGCGCAAGGGCGCTGAGGTGAGCAAAGCCCAGAGACTCATCCAGGGCTCAAGTACAGGCTCTCATTCTTCTCTCAGGCGGGGGAAGAATTCCCTTAACCACATTCACAACCTTGCCTCGGGCACCTTAGCTGGGGCTGCCAGGAGGCCGCGGTGGCCGGGCAGCTGTTGCACCAAGAGGGGGCAGCTGCGGAGTTCCATAACCATAGCAACCGCATCAGTACCAAGGCGGCAGTGGCGGCGGCGGCGGCGGCAGCGGCGGCGAGGGCAGCATCCGTTTGCTCCTCCTCCAGGCAGCCTCACAGTGGAGACCTGAGACACAGCTCGCAGGTGCCGTGGACTCCTCGGTCCGCCCACGATCGCTGCCAGTGTTGGCTGCTGGAGAAGGTGAGAAGAAGAGAGCGGGACCAGAGCTGGAACTGGGCCCTAGAAGGTGTGTGTGTGAGAGAGAGAGCCCTGCAGTGGGAGACAGGTAGGTGAGAACGCTCTGGGGTCACCAGCTGTAAAACTCTCTCCTTTGTGGCAGTGACGTTTCTGGAAGCGTGGATGCTAGTTGGATGGCTTTCGATTACTAAGTGAGGATTCTGCCGCGAAATGTGTTTTTATCTTTCTCTATTTTCTCCCAGATATCTCTGTCCTCTGATCTTGCCCCACATGTGGGCAAGTCTTGAGAGGACAAGAAGGAACACTGATGTGACTGGATGAATGAAGTGGTTCCCCGGGGGCTCATTTAGACCTGTCTGTTCAAGTCCTCTAAGCCACTGAACCCAGAGCAAGCTCAAAAGACCTTGTTGAGATGGAGGGGGTTACGGTCTCTGTTCTATGTGGGGCAGCGGACTCAGAGACCTTCTCTTTTGGGGGTGGGATGCAATATAGTTCAGTTGTGGTACAGAAAGGGACCATACCACACAACAACTCTTCATAGGTAAAACCAGCTTTAAACACAACCACTGCAGGAGACATTTAGTCAAGGTAGTAGTAACTCTTAAGATGTGAGGACCAAGGAGTACCCCAAGAGTTTACTGTGCTGTAGATAAGATGCTTTGATCATCGGCGGATCAGATGGTAAGAGAAATAAGATTTTCAACCAGCGTTAGGAAGAGACTCTCCTCCCAGCCTCCTCATCTACTTTTTCCCCCCTCCCTGATGCCAACAAAACCAAAACTGGATGGTGTTCAGAGACACCCTCCAGCCCTGGCCACTGACAAACCATCCCATTTTCAGACAGCTAGAGAGGAGAACCCCACTTCAGCCCCTAATATAAACTAGGGGACAATGTTTTCCACTGGGTTCCAATGCTCTGAATGTTAAGTTTATTTTAAACTCTGGATTCACTTTGGTATCTACACTGTATGATGGACTGTTAACTGCATCTCTGGGCCAGGGAGAGGGCTGGAGCTTTTTTGGCACATGATTTCACCCAGTTCAGTTGGGAGAAGAACCCCAAAAGACCCAATGGGAAGAACGTCGTGTTCGATGGATAATTTGAGTCAAAAACCTCTTCATAGAGTTGAGCAGATTTCTAAAGAATTTCCAGGACGGATAGCCACTGACTGTGAGAGGGTTCTCTTTTTATATCCTAGCCTCAGGGGACTGTGGTAAGACCCAGTTAAAAGGGTATGTTCTTTAATTGGGCTTTTAATTTATGATGTGGTTATGTTACCCAAGAGGATGTGATCTGACCAGTCTTTCATCTGGGAATTTATGCCGCAAGGAGGACAGTATATTATAGGGAGATGGTACATTGTCATGTAGAGGAAAGAGGACAAGAGTCTGGAGTCAGAAATGGGTCTGAACTCTGTTTATATCATACACCTGTTGTATGACCTTGACTTGCTCCTACCTAGTTGGGACTTTCCTCATCTATAGAATGAGATACTAGCAACCCTTGGAGTTTGGTAGGCTCTCCTAACAACCAAATGTAATGGGAGAGGGTACAAATGGGGAAGGATTTTAAAGTCTGATGACTAATGCAATTTTAAGAAAAGCATCATTTTCTAAAGAACAAGTCTCAGATTAGCAAAGCATGACATAGATATCACCTATGGAAGGAGTGGAAATACTCCTCAGTGAGTCATGGCTGGAATACTGTCTTGTTCTGGAGATACCTGGGCAATATAAAGAGGGCTTTGTTTGGGTAAACACTGCATGTCCTCCTTGTTTATGGCTGCTGAAGGTCAAGAGCTCTGCCGTGGAAGGTGGTGCTCCATTCTGTCCAAACAGTGAGTTCTGTGTAGCACAGAGTGGACCAAACATTGGAGAACGCAGAGAGGTGTTTGCAAAAAGTGAGGATTCCTTTAAATGCCGCACACACTGTGGGTTCTTTGTGAGCTGCAATTGTTTCAAATCCAGCTCCGTTCTGTAATGCCAGATTTATTTGATGAACCTGACCAAATCCGGACAGTTTGATTTCACTGCTGAGGGAACTGTAATCTCTGAAAGGAGCCAGGCCTGGTGTTCTGCCCTTCTCTGCTTGTTTGTGCTTCTGCTTTGGCCCATGCTGGTGTCTTTGCAGAAAGTAACCATTCCCCACTTTCTTCTTCTTTTTGTGGACCAAAAAGGCTCCATCATACCTGGAGCCTTCCCAACAGGACATTCTGTACCTGTTGTGACAGGAAGAGTGTGCTGTGTCATTGCTTGTATACACACGTCTTTTGCTTCTAGACACTATGCTTCACTAGGGCAGAGGCTTCTGCCTACCCGGCCTTCCTGGTGGCCCCACAACCTATGGTGAATGGTGCTGAGTGAGAGAATAGACTTTATCAGCAACCTGACCACATGTCCCGGAAGAGGTACCACAAAGTCTGTTCCTGGTACCTTCCTGTCTCGGGATGCAGCAAGCCTGAGTGATGTTTGCTAGTCTGCGATGCATTGTTTGGGTCAGCCCACTGAAGCAGAGTGAAAGGTACCACAGGCACAAACTTAGTCTCAAAACATTCATTTCTTTTCCAGGGACACTTTAGAATTGTTGTAGTCTGGTGCTAAATGGCTTTCATATAACATTTGCTGAGTGTTTCAGATAGGATGTGTTACATTTAGAATGTATTTCTGTTTTTTTCCATTTAACTCTTTTAATGACTTTCATAAAATGGGAAACTGTACAAACAGACTTCAGAGTGCCTAGGACTGGACACAGGTTCTAGGAGGACTGAGAATTAGGGTGCTAGACTCCCCTTTGATCTCAGTTTCCTCCATTTGTAGCATATGACTGTTGACATCAAACTCACAGTTGATGCTGAACACTTAGGAATAGCAGTGCAGAAAGAAAAAAAAAAACACCTTCCCATGACCCACAAAGTACTCAGCATTAGCACATGTTTTCTTTTACTTCATTTCTTCCAGAAAATGAGCAACATCCCTGAGCTTAATTGCACAGTCTTGGATGAGATGCACTCCAAAGCCCTGCCTCCTCTTCTTGTTAGCTCTCTGTGACCTTCAGTAAATCATTCTATTCCCTCAGCCACTTGCCTTCCCTGTCAGATATCATAATGATGGTTACCTTCCCAGATTGGCTCAGAAGACGTAAAGTAAGAAAAATGGCATGTGACTTCCCAATGAAAAATATAGTTGCCAATTATAGAAGGTTCCGGAATTATTTTAAATGCCCTAAATCCATTTCTTTCCTGTATTGCATCTACAAAAGAGACATTGAGATTGATGAAGGGGGGAGGGAGAGAGGGAGAGAGAGAGCAAACGAGAGAGAGAACACCTTATGGTTATATGTGAGATGTGAGAATCTATGAGGGAGGGGAGTCCAATTAGCTGTGGTTCTGGTTCTGATTCAAGAATGGGTTCTACTTCTGACATTGTTTATAGGACTTTTGACCTACCCGCCCATGTTCAGACCTTGGTTCCATTATCTATAATTGGCCTGGAGGATTTCAGTGGCCCTACTTACTTGTCTTTCAGCACTCGTATACGTTGACCTATGCCCTCTTTTCCGAGGTTTCATCTGTGGTCCTCTGTCTCTGGCTCTCCATCTATCCTTTCCATCAAACCTTAGAACTTGTCCAAAACTCTACACTTCAAAGCCTAATGACACCACTGACACCAGGAGTCTTTCCTTTCCTTGTCAAGGTAAGGTGTTGAACATGATCTTTGGCCTTTGGAATTTTTCGGATACCTTAGACCACCTCTCCCCAGGTAAAATGTTTTGCTGCAATGTCTATCCTGCAGGAAGCCCTTTATTTAACCAGCTGGAAGGTGCATATATGAACTCTGATATTATCTGAGAGGGTTAGTGAAATCTGTGCCATCTCTAATGCTTTTGGATTTCCTGGACCATGGATGATCAGCAATGCTGAATGTTTCTGCTGAAACAGGAACCATTTTTAGGTGACTACACAGCAGTCTCTGAGTTGTAGTAGAGGATGATCGCACCGCCCCCAAAGATGAATCAGTCTCTGTGACCCCCCCACCCTTGGTGTGGGTTGAGTGGGATCCTTATCATTGGGTGTGTAGAGTTTATGCAAAATTTCCTGCTCTCTGTCCTTCCACATGCCAGACCTGGAAGTTCCATCAGGAACTGGGCAAGGTCCTGGTAATAAACTTAGCATTTGTTTTAGATATCAAACATTGGAAGTGAGAAGAATGAACCAGGTCAGGTTCAGGTTATGAGTCAGGGGACATGGCCTTCTACCCATTTCCTGGAAGAGACTGTCAAGGTTGACTTTAAATAATAGAAGAGATCTAAGCTCAGGTCTGAAAGAATATCTCTGTGGAGAACAGAGGGAAAACAAGCAGGGTATAGGAGGTGACATGCAAACGGAAGAAGAAGTGCCAGGAAGTGAGTATGAAGCTGGGCTGAGGTAAAGTGTTGCCCATGGAGTCTGGTGAGGCAGAGAGAGGTGACGTCACTGAGAGTCTGCACACCAGCCTCTTAAGTGTTCCCTTTACTTTGAAGGTCATGGGAAGCCATAATAAGACCAGTAGTTGTGCAGAATGCTCTTTTCTCTCTAGCTACAGAGTGGAGGATAGATTAGAGAAGCTACATCAAATGAAGCATAGCATGGCCTGATAGGTAACCTGGCAGGTAAGAGTTGTTTGTAGTTGGACCATTGGAGCCAGGATGCAATTAGCAGGAGGTAGCAAGTCGTGTAATAATGGTGCCGGAGACCTGGCCATACCGCTTCATCTCTCAGACAAATGTCCGAATGGAGCACTGTCGGGACTGGGGACCAGTGAGGGAAAAGGAAAGAAGGGACACAGTTGTCTTCCTGGCTATCTTCCAAGACTCACTACAATCACTCTGGGTCTGGTCCTTTCACCCTTTACCTGAACTAATCAATCTGACTTTGAGTTGGCACGCTGGCCTCCCTGGTGAGCCTCTGTACACAGCAGCCGGCTTGATGGTTGGAAAATTGAAATTGAATTGAAAGCCCTTTTGTGTTTTTGTAACCCAGAGCCGAAAACCTTTCTCCAAATTTTAACCTTTTCCCACCACAAGTTAGACCCTCATAATAGTCTCTCTTA